GTCAAAAATTGTACCGTCATCAACATGGTAGCCCACAGTGCCATGTTGCCATCCCGGCATGACATGACAGTCATAGTCTTCCCACACAACACCAAGTCCTACGAACCTCTTCTCACTGCTCTCTTGTATTAAAACCTGCAAGTGAATGTAACAACGATCCAAGTAAGTATTCTGAGCGTGCATATTATTGTGTCTGATTATGTTTCCCTTTCAAAAGAATAGCTAATATATTTGTATGAATGTCAAAAATGGGGAAATACGAACTGCACATAAATTTAATACAGTTACAGTAACTGTTACAGTCTTATGTACATGTATGTACTGTGTTCTGGTTCTTTCTGAATCAAAGGCATTTGTAACCTTACTTATGTTCCTTGGTTTAATGATCTCGTGTAAATACACGTTATTGTTCTGCTATAGTCTATCTTCTCCATAGCCTGTGTGCCTTGTTTCCGAGTTCAATAAGACAAGGAGAGTCAGGTTTAGTTATAGCTTAGTATGACAAGTGGACCAGCAAAAAGGTCAATCAACTTTCCAGTAAATAAAGCGCTTCAAAAGCGACTATAATTATCGACTGACTATACTCATACTCCCTGGATGAGACATTAGTCCATAGCAGTACTCAGCTGTCACTTCTTTCAATTACGGGTTCTTAATATTCTTATGTGCAGAGAGCGTTGTAAGAGTGAATTGGACTTCTATGCCTTTCCCTAGGAAGCATGATGCTAGGTTAGGCAAAACTGTGACTTCGTACACGTTTAGGTTAGTTACTCAACTTAAAATGATTGGAAAGAAACGCGGTGTTAATCACATGATGAATGAGTACTGTTATTGGTTTTGCACTACCTTTTCATAACAGTTACCGAGAGCGTTCAAAACGAGCTGCTGTTGTTATTGAATAGATGCCCCCACTTACCCGCTGTTTATTCGTTGGAATATTTGATCTTGTACAGTTTCTCAAACACCACAGTAGCGTGACGCAATTGGATATCAGGTTGAAAGGTACAGGTATGGGATCGTAAGCACTGTAAACTTGGGTAGTGATTGCTTTCTTGTATGACCACTCCATCAAAGAATGGTCCTGAAAATAAGCGCAAATAGTCCCTCAAGTTGAACCAAAAATCCATCAATAGACAACGATAGGAAAATAAGAACTTAGCAGTACTTGCTGATATGTGTTTGATAAAAGAGCAATCATCATGTTGATCAGAAGAATAACGGCCATACATGTAATCAAAAACACACCGTACAGGAAATAAGCTAGAATGACCGAAGGACTATCAACTGAATCGAGAGGACCCCGATCTGCTATCCCCAGCAAGGACCATAAGAAGTGTTTGAGCATCGACCACCAACTGTCGAAATGAAGAAATTATTGCAGTTATAGCTCAGTTGACAGGGCAGATTTCAATTGAGTGTCATAAAACGAAAATCAAAATTATCACTCTAGCCAGTCACATTGTAAAGAGGCAATCCAGTGAACCAATCAAATACAAAGCAAATACAGGTTGCCAACACAAAGCACGTGAAAAATGGTATCACATAAAACGTACACATTACATAAATAGCTGAAAAGCCCATC